TTGATTTGCAACTGTGTGTATTTCTCTAAAACAGTTCAATTCGGGTTCAAGTAGGTTGACGGAAACTCGGGGACTGCGCCTACCTGATGAGCCCCAAGCGGAAGGGCGAAACCGGTCGTGGGCTGTCGAAGAGTTTTCAGCAACCTTGTGAGTAGTTTCCTTTATGACAACATGTGTGTTCTTCCAGGTTGATCACTATCTAGAAAGGATAACGTTTGACCCGCCGTTCCAAGTGGCTTCTCCAGAGCAAAGGTTGTCCGAAGGCTGATCACATGAAAGACTCAAAACATGATGACAATTTGTTTCTGCTCCGGGGGACTCAAACTGTGCAAGAAGTTTCCAAGAATCCAAGGTCTCTCATACACACACACTATTGGAAGACCTTCATAGACAAGAAATTCGGCTGGATTATTTTGCGTCTCGCATCACAATCAACGTAATCTGCAAGTGAGAGTATTTGTCAAATTCTGTCCAATATAGGGTCAAGAAAGATGCAGTGTGGACGGAAAATCAAGGACTACATCCAACCAACGAGCTCCAAGAAGGGTGAAACAGCTCTTGGGCTGTTAGAGAGTTTTTAGTAACCCCTAATGAGTGGCATGTCACCACTAGACGATGTACAACCAAAAAATCAGGCGGTCTTTGTGCGTCACTTCAGTTGAATAAGACCACTTTAAGCGAGATATTTAGCTAGATTCAATTAAGCCTCTCGTCAAAACCAACTTTGTGTGTAAATGATAGTATCTGATAGAGTTCTGCTAACTCATATTACAAAAAGTCTTGTCCACTGGCCAGGTATTTGATTCATGTCAGAACACCCCAAAGACAGTAAGAGAATACTGTATGGTAATTGATCAGGTGGCTGTTGATCTGTTCGCCGAGCTTGGCAATTGATTTTCAAACGTTTCTTCACCATTCGAGGACATCTTCAGTGCGTTGTTGGTTGGGTATCTCCGTCTTTTTTTTTGGGGGGGGGGGGACAATATGAAGTTACTGGTCTTTATCACTTTCTGGATAGGGTAGTCGTCCTTCTAAAAACGCCAAATTGGGGCTGACACTTGAGGGAGGGGAATGAAACGGTCCAAGTAGTTCCCTCGGTCGGAAGGTGGAATTGCTGTGTGTTCTGTAAAATAGGGCGATGATCACAACAACTCATTTGGATACCGTTAACATAGCTCGATGTGGAGTTAATAGACTGTGAGATAAATTCATTCGGTGCTCGTACGATTCCTGTAGTAATAAAGGACAAAGCAACTGTGGGATATTACACTACGAGGCATCTTTCGTCGTTGCACTGCGAATCAATGTCCTTGACCCCTCACAGCCTTTTCTTACGTAGCCATTCACAAAAAGTTCACAGTCTAAAAATCGGCATCATGTGCAAATGGCCACAAAGTGATCTGTGAAAAGAGATCGAACTGACCAACATATTTATGCACTTACTGGTGGTCTTTGCTATATTTCATCTCCACTCCACTCCACATCAGACAGATATTAAAAATCCGTTTGGATTATACTACCCATGGACAGTTTGGGAAGCCTGAAGCTGGTAAAGTTTGGGTTCCTTCCGAGAAGCAGTCAAAATTCGCATGAAATGCGGTTCAGCGAGCAGAGCTACTGGTACAGAGAATCTGGGTCGTTTCCGACTCTCGTGAGTGTGATGTTTCACAAAACAGGTCTGTGGTTTTAGGCAGTAAAGCATGCCCTTGGGACTGCAGGTAACAACTTAATATGCAACATTAGGGTGAATATTTTTCAGACTCCAAACTATCTATGCTTCCGACTAAGCGAACTTCTTTGTTGATATTCCCTGGTGATCTTTTCCAACCATTCCACGTCTTTGAGGGAACGAACTCTTCTATACCGCTCACAACCCATTAGCCAGTTTTTTCTGCAAGCTTAACCTATAAGAAATAGGCGATCGCGGAAATGACGAGAAATTCAAAAAGTCGTGACATAGTTGCCCTTGACATTTCCAATCATCCGAAAACAATAACTTCGGTCTCTCATGCTAGTCAAGTTTTAATGTACTCCAGCTATCTGTTAGAAATCTCGTCTTGGCTGTGAAAGAAACCTGCCGAGATGTCATCTGAAAATTTTGTAGGACAACTTTAGATCTTGTTGTTTGATTGGAATCATGGTTTACAAAAGATTAATGGGTGCCCGGACAGCTTTGTGCACCGCTTTTCTGAGTGCCTCATCGGATGTGCAGAAGTACTCGAATGTGATTGGTCCATCTTCCGAAGTGTCAGTACATGATCTGCGTAACTCGAACAGGGCCTCCTCGAGGATTCCCCGAACTTCCGCAACAAATGAGACAAGCGATGTGTACCAAGTAGCTAACTGAAACTTGATATTACCGCTAATTTTATGCACTGGAAAACCGCAATGTTTGGTCGGATGCAAGTTAGTCGGGTTCATGTTTTTTTCTCACCGGTTGTGACGTCTATTTGAAAATCAGTAGTGATAGCCTATTCTGCGCGGTGGCTTTGAGCTTCAGAAGGGATGCGGAAGTGGGCTACGCAAAGTAACATTGCACGATTGTTCACACAACGTCAGTGTGCTCAAAAGCCGTACTTCCGATATAATGACGCACAGGAAATCGGAACCGGTTCTGTGGCGACTGCAGAGCAACGGGCTGTATTGTTTGACGAAATTGCTGTTCATGTAGGCTGTGCCAGAAACTATTGAACAATGGATTCGCTAGCAGTCATGTGCGGGAGAAAACCGAAAGCTATAAGTGAGAAATTAAGGCCGCTCAAACGGGAGGAATCTAATCCTAGTGTAGAAGACAAGTAAACTAATTTAATTGGGCTACTTATAGTGCTAAGATTACGAAATATTCGGAGGCATGCTGACACTTTGTGTCCTTGTTGACCAAAACGGGTTTCACCTGAATCTGTCGTTTATCCATCTTTTGATTTGGAAAAGAGGTGACGCACTTGTACAAAAACTGACCCGTTGACCAGACGTTATTGTGCAATAAACAAGTGGTTTGGCAGTCCTTAACTTTTGATTGAAACTTCGTAGCAAGAGAGTGTAAGCGGTAGATAACGTGCTCGGCAGCTTGAATTTACTTACCACCTCAACTATGCCTGCTCTGCTGAGCGGTCTTCATCGAATCAAACAAGTCATCTCTAAAAGTTCCTACGCAAGATTTCTGAAAATACAAGGCTACTCGTGATACGAGATATGTTGTTCACAGACGTTTTGGGAGTTGCCTTCACGAAGGTGCTCTGCGTTAATCTGCCTTCCACAACTTCTGTGATCTACTTGAAGTTATGCTTGGCTCACATGGACAGAAAGGTTAAAACAATGGTGATCCTGACTTCTTGAAGGAATTGACACAATATTTCAGTCAAAATTTACTCATTTGCCGATTCACTCGTATGGAACTCAATGTCTAAACGAGCTTGGTTTGCGACCTCTGACTTGTCCAAGGCAAAATCTTACAGGAAGCAGTATGTACGGCAGTCCGAGGAATGCTAAAACTTACCCGATGATCAGTGACCAAGCTGTTTCCTTTGGCATTCACAACATTGAATGTCACGTCCGTGGAATACTGAGTGAGGTACTTTCAGAATGTAGGGGAACTCTGGGTAGCAAATGCATTCAGGAGGTAAGGAACCGGATCAAATGATTCCAGAGAGCTGCAGCACCTTTTGTGGAAGAAATGGAATTGCAATGACCAGGAGAATAGGGCGGGTCAGCTGGACTCAGCTTCCAGAGCTACCATCGGGACACAGTAAAGCTAATCGGGCTAGATCGCTGTTGGGTATTACCATCAGATAACTATGCCCGACGTAAAATCAGAATTTAACGGCAACACTTACAGAATTATGCAGGGTCGTCATTCGGTGGAACTCTCTGGACCGAGACTAGATTAGAAGAGTAAACTACGCTAATTCTGGGATCAGTTTGAAGCTTCTCGATCCCATGAGAAAAGTACAGTGGCGAGTAAACGATCTCGAGCTGTTATGGAGAAGCTTTAACCTGCGTAAAGTGTTTTCCGCGATGTTTTATTTTTGTCGATTCCAGGCATCTGAATACACACGTATATACATTCCTCCAAGGTAGATGAGTGCAAAGCAGACGCTCGACGTATAATGGTTTTTGTTGTGGGAGGTTACGGGATTTGTGATGTATAAATTCACTTCACTCTCGGTTGCACATTCGTCCTCCTCTTCTGTCGTAATTATTCTGATGGGTTTACACCAAAGAGCGAAAGCACCGGACTCGAGTTTCCCTCTCACCAGCGGTGCATATCCAATGGCTGTGCCGGGGTTCGAAATCCGGACACCTGACATGCGCAACGAGCGTGCTACCACTGTAACGGTGATACTACTGATCGGGAGGCACGCGAGTAGTATGTGTTGTTCATTGAATTTCGCTTTGCGTCGACTAAAAAGGGAATTCTGTTGCGGAATTCGTGGGGCCACTTTGTAACATTTGCTTGGATTTGACCGACGAATGAGTGGAGGCAACGAATCTCTAGGAAGACTCGTTCGGGAGAAGATCTGTGTTCAGTTTTTGTAACTAAGATGCAGATTAGAGTTTTGCTTCCCTGTTCAGTGGTCTGTAACCGGTCAGTTGGCATTTCCGAATAAATAACTCCGCAGCAAAGGCCTTCTTCCTTTCACCTGTAGCAGCCAAACTGCGGAGAAAACGCGTTCCCGCCGTCCGAACTTTCACCAAGGCAAGCGTTTTCGTACTTGAGCGGTATGAATTTTATGCTATACTAAGAGCAAAACTCTCGTTTGGTCTTTCTTCCTTTTGTGTAAAAATTCATGAGAATAATCACTCCAGGAATAAAGGATGACCGTAAAGACAAAAGTGAGATGAATTTAAACACTACATGTCCCACAACCATCCAAAACAAAGTGAAAAATTAGCGGAATACACACATTTGCAAACAAGTTTGGTTTTGCTGCACCAGGCCGCCCCATGTTTCAGTTGCTAAGATATGCGAAATACCGCGATACATGTATATACGTAATGCACTACTCATAAGGTTGCTGAAAATTCTTCGACAGTCCATGACTGGCTTTGCCCTTCTTGGGGTTCACCAGGTAGAAAATGAAACATGAGGGGGCCTGGTGCAGCACATTCAGTTGCCTGAAAACATCATAAACGAGAGATTCAGCTGGGTTCCAGGTCAGTCTCTCGAAGGAACCAAATTAGTTTGCAGATGAGTGTATATTCGCTAATTTCGTGCAATTTGGTTTCAAGTAAAACATAAGGTTGACGGAAACCGACTGAGCCTACCTGATGAGCCCCAAGAAGGGCGAAACCGGTCGTGAGCTGTCGAAGAGTTTCCAGCAAAAGTAAAAAAAATGTTCACCGGGTTTCAAGCGTTAGTGACGCTACCTGAGTGAAAAGTCCTGACAGGTTGGTCAATCGATCGTCGCGATCAAGACAATTACTGGCTAGTCATCCGAGGATTCTGGCATGAAATTCTGATAATGTCCGCCCTAGTCAATATGAAAGACGTATTTCTGTTTGACAACCACGGATATGCAAAGTACATGAATGCTCATGTTTAGAACTTCAGTCCCCTACATTCTAATGGAATTGGAGGAAAAAACTAGTGAAAAACAAATCACTCTAATAAGCAGCTCCCTTCATCAGGCTGCTGAATAATCCATTTAGGGCATCAGGATTTTTCAGACAAACCGGACTAATTCGGCACAAATCCTTCCTTAGACAGAAAGAAGGTCAAATTGATTTGCATTTGATATCCATTTCAGACTACCTGTTTTGCACTCTAGCACCTTATCCCTTCTCCTTCGCCGTAGTTTCGAAAACATCCGCATCACATTCTCCGTTTTAATTTAAATGCCTTTGCTATTTGCTTGAATGCTCATGACTTCCGGTGGTTTCATGGACCTCCTGACCTTCGTTCCACCGGTTCTTACTTCCAAACTTTTGGACATAGGAATGTTTAAAAAAATTTCGGGGTTAGATTGGAATAGTATAATTGTACCGTTTTTGGACGAGGATACAGGTGAAGAAGCATCACAACTTGATTAACATCAATAACCTGACCACTATTCAGGACCAGCTTCGCTACTTTTCTGGATCTAAATTAGTGAATTTTAATTCCGTAGAAAAGACGATAGTTTTGCTTGTAAACCGCAGACTACCAAACGAAGACAACTGGCACTGAAAGACCAAAGAAGCATAGCCCTTCCACCGTTCTTGAGAACCGTCAGTACTGCCAACCTCACTATACTGGTCAAAGACTTTCTGGTTACCACCTGACCATCACTGTTTGGCCAAGTGTGGCTGTTTCCCAGCACTTGGACAGCTACATCACCTTTGTCCTTCACCCACGTGATTCTATGTTGATGGGCCTTTCAAACGACGAGTTTCCAAGTGGAAAGTTGTACCTTGGGATTTTCCCCCAAATTTCCCCCTTTTGTATACCAATTTGGTTTTCACAAGGGCTTTCTTATTCTCGAAGGATCATTCACAAACGCAAAATGTCGATTTTGATAAAGGAAACTACTCACAAAGTTGCTGAAAACTCTTCGACAACAACCTTGTGAGTAGTTTCCTTTATGAAAATGTACTGCGATGTCTCGAATATCGTGCCAACTGAAACATGAGGTGGCCTGTGTGCAGCACATTCAGCTGGAGAACATCATAAACGAGAGGTTCGGTTGGGTCTCTCGTGAAAACCAAATTGATTTGCAAATGAGTGTATATCTCGGAAGATGTCGATGCTTAGCTGATATTTTACTTCGCAGGTACAGTGGTGAATCAGACCTAAGGTACGAAGCACTACCTGAAGGTCCTACTATTATCATAAAGCTGCCCTGGACAACGGCCAGATCTGGTCCGAAATATTCGCTGACAAGCCGATGACCTCAAACATGACAAAATGTTTTGTAGAGGGCGTACGGACGTTGAGCATTTGATCCACGCAAAAAAGTCTATAGTGTACATGTTCGCAGGAATACCTCGACGCGGCCTTTGTGCTGTAGATTACGCTGAAAATATCGGTATGCTTTTGATTGGGACGGAATCCATCCATTTCGCGCCCCCCCCCCCCTAGCACACAATCACCAACCCATCATCACGCACCACAGCGCTCCCCAATAACGCACTGATGATGTCGCCCCGATTGGTGATGAAACGTTTGCAATTTCATTGCCCAAGTCAGCGAACAAACCAACGACCATCTACACTACCTGAGCTACCGACATTTTCCCCCATAAAAAAACCATCAGGGAATATTCGATTGAATTGCTGTTTGAGTCAAGGTTACTTTTTTTCTTCTACTGCATTAAAAGCTCCAATCAAGGTGAAATCTTTCTAGAGAGTCCGCGAATTGCGGGTAGTCGCGCCACGACAATTTTATCAATATTGTTCTCTCACAGATTTCTTGCCGGTAGAACAGTTGACTATCAGGAGACCATCATATTACCACGCCTCACTCAGCAAGTGACGTCACGTGAATTGCCGGTTGGTCTCTTAGGTGACACTTTTACATCTCATCTCTCTGGTTTGCTAATATGAAATAAAATAAAACATATTTAAGGCAAAATATCTAGAGCCATTTTGATGTGTCTGGTGAGGAAACCTGATCATAGTCGGTGGTTACTATGACGACAGGCATCACCACTTTTTGAATTGTGCCACATATTTGATTGACATTGTGTTTTAGTCAAGTGCAGGCAATTAGCACGCGCTGTCCACTTCATCTACGGCTGCTCCAACTGTAGTGGCCCTTGTGAACTTTGTTTATGGGCTAGTCTTGGAAAAATTGACAAAAATGTTCGCTTTTAGTCCTACACCTGATTCTCGTCATACGTGGCTGTCTACCCACTAACGTGGAAGCCAACCAAAGGTTGTAACCTTCAAGTGCACAGAGCTCAGACGTGAATACAAATCGATAATATAGGTACCATCAAAAAGGTGGGAGAATTTAGTATATCCACAAAATGCTTTTTGTCCTTCTAAATTGATCGGTAAAATCAAGGAACATTATATTATATAATATACGCACATCTGTAATATACTTACACACCACTGATGGCAAATATGCCTAACCCTTTCATCCATTTTCTGTGTAGAGAAACGAATGAACACATTATGATATTTTCTTGGTAGTTCTCTGGTTACTTTATTAAGTTAGACAATTAATGCAGATGTTTGCCATGGTTATGGGTATACCGAAGACAACGCAATGTGTCCGTTGCACTTCCGTCTTTTGAAAGATGGCGCCTACTAATACAAGTTCCAGAGATCGATTTCCGGAACGTGACAGATAAATTTAGATATATTTCTTTGTCCACCATATTTCTAGAGCTTTCATCACTTTCGCAAATCGTTGATTCGCCGACCTGTGGTATCTGCTGCTAACGCACTCCAGTGACTAGTGCCGGAGACAAAAGACTCACAGAAGGGAACACAACCGCTATATTCCGAACAAGCGAGCGCGAGAGCAAAAGTTACAACGGCCCCACGCTATTTAAGGAGCTCTTTCTGACACTGATCCAGACTGTCTGATAGGCGTTTGTGAACACCCATCAACATCGATCGTGCCTCAGTGAAATGCCTGAATGATGATCACATTCGGTCGTGCTTCTGTGGCGTGCAAGAACTCTCATCATGTTTTTCTGAACTGATTGAATGATTGACTGGCCTGGATGCTTGCCGGCTTTCATGTTGAGATTTTGGTGGAGCAGCAGGTTCCGGGTGTTCTGAGGTTACTTTCAGGAATCTGACTTTTCTGATACCAAGAGACGAACCAAAATGAATTCCGAGGATTTCCGATTAGTGCAGTCTTCCCCCGTTTTCTACAACGAAGGTGCAAATAGACTACTAACATGTTGGTTGCAACACACCGTTGATGGGAATCGACGAACTCCACAATACGAACTAAGCGGTTACAAGCCATTGGACACACGGAATTAATCATCTCATCCGCACGGAGATTTTGAAAAGTGAACATTTTCGAGCACCTTCATGAGTTCTTAGAATACAACACAATAACAAACGAACATTACAAATTTTACATATTAAGCTGCACTTCTTATCAGATGTAGGGGCAGAACTTTGACACAGGAACATTGACTACTCGCATGCATCATCAGTAGTACACACAATTACACTAGTTGTCCGATCTCATTCTTTATCTGAAAATCTTCGCTATGTATTGGAATAATTATTCCTCAAGTTCTAAAATCGATGGTTCCGAGAGAAGTAGGTGTGGTTGCTTCGACCAAATAGTGACTGTTTCTTCTGAAGTCAGTTTTCTTTATCGCACCTGGCGTAATAGCCTCCCATAATTTAAGTACGCACTGCGTAGTCTTTCCAGTCTTCGTTAGGTCCAGACACAGTGACCAATCATGATAATTTAGCTTCTTTAGTTATGACAAATCCCATGAGTCTAATATGCACTTGTGGAACAACAACACCGGGCTCGCTCTACAAATCTGCTCTCCAGGGCTGGAACTGCTGAGGTACTGATAAGAACAAGACTCCAGTTCAGTGCTTGCTCTCATTGCCTGAATGGAAAGATTGACTGCTGAAGCAAGAGTGGTGCGAATACAAAATCCAACATTCTCTCAACCATCACCACCAAATCTGCAATTGACCCAAACTCATCATCATCATCATCATTGACAGCATGACATCAGTGTTCAACACCGATGCTTCACTGCCGTACAACCATGACTTATTTGAAAGCCTTATTGTAAAGAAAGGAATAAAGGTGGATGGGGGAGGGACTTAGTGCTAGCTTAACACAATCATTCCGAGGTACCTACACTTCCAGACATTCCCTCAGGCAATCTGGACAGAAACTGACAACAAGAACGCCACTGACATCGGTTGGTAGCCATATCTTGTAGTGTCTCCAACC